CACTAGTGCGATAAAGTAACATTTTTAATGCTACGAGGCGGGTGTTAAAAATTGCATTTTTAACAAGTTTGTAGAAAAAATAATTTACAAGGATAAGTCTTCTGGGAAAGTTCGAATATTGTCAGAGGTAAATCAAGGTTCCATTCTGGGTTTGCTTTTTTTTATTGTACAGGGTGTTTGTTTATAACTGGAACATTCATTACTTTCTCATTATTAGAAATAAAGGTCATGTTTAAATTGGAAAATTTCTTAGTAAATTGCAAGGATCCTAATCGCTCTAATGATAATTTTTAGTCGCCATAGGTATACAGGGTGCGCCAAAAAAGTTTTTTTTTTTAATGGAACGTCCTCTATGTTATTGCATTTTTAAAATTCCTACAAAATTAGCTTCACAAAAATATCAAACACTATTTAGATTACAAAAATATACAAGGCGTTCCATTAAAAAAAAATATACCTTTTTGGCGCACCCTGTATACCTATGAAGACAAAAAAATATCGTTGTATCGCTTAAGGTTGCGATTTACCAAGCAATTTTCCAACTTAAACATGCCCTTTATTTTCAATGATAAGAAAGTTACTGAGTGTTCCAGTTATAAACAAACACCCAGAACATTCTTCTGATATCTTAAAATCATTGAAGCATTGCAAAATGCAGGCATACGCTGATGAAACACAAATCTATTTTCATTTTGAACCTAGTATGTTCGCATGCTCGTGACTTATGAAGATTTAGAATTACTGCGTTAACTTTCTTTGGAACATAATTTAAAGTTGAACTTAAAATCATCTCTTATGCTTTTTGGTTGCAAAAATATTGTCAGATAGATAACATTAATATACAGAGTGAGTTTTGAAGGGGGTGTGACCCTAAAAAACGACTTAAGTTACTTCAATCAAGAAAAAAATTCTAAGATCTTTCGTGAAAACTGCAGTTCCATATTCAAAATAGTCTCCGAGAAAACTTCTTGTGAAGATAAATTATGCAAGTACTTGTGATGACACAGCCGCCGAAATCGCAGTCTTCTGTTCGTTCAGTCTTCTGTTCGTTCAGTCGTCAGTGAAGCGTACCCCATAGGGACCAGGCACAAATTGAAATCCGCGACCCCTAGTGGCAGTTTTCATAAGAATTTGTATAAAAAACAACTGGAATTTTGACAAAATGCCAATATTTTCTAACCTATGGACGAGACTATGCGTTATTTTTCTATTTTGTTCACTTATCACTCGTATTTCAGAAAATGAAGTTGGAAATGAATGTTTCTTTCCAAAATATAGAATGTATCCACCACGAAGCTGGAAACTGAATAGTTATAGACTGTGAGATAGGGGCTGTTTAGTGGAGTCATTTTTTTTTTGTCTGGCATTTTGAGGGTTGAATGTGGCTACTAAGCTGATGAGAATATAGGTGATTTTAATGCCGGCCTCCCGTTCGAAAATTTGCAGAAGAAAAAAATGGATTTACATGAAGATTTTTTTTTTAATAATCTCAAATTTTCTGGCTTTTAAATAAAAGATTGACATTGATAAATAAGTCACCCATGAAAAATACCAGATGTTTTTCAATAGCTGAAAAAATGGGGATGGGTGTCAACTTCCAAGAGAAAAGAAAAGAACCTTCCGCGTTTACTTTTTATCTGGTAATCGAGAGAATGAAAGGTTTTGATGTGAAAATAACGCTAAAAAATCGCCAGACGGTAATCACAGTTCGAAATCGAGTTTTCCGGCGAAACATTCTGTGGACATTTCGAACAGGTGGCAGGCATTAAAACCACTTATATTCTCGTCAGCTAACTAGCCACATCCATCCCTCAAAATGCCAAACAAAAAAGAAAAATGACTCCACTAAACAGGCCCTATCTCAGGGTCTATTAGGGATCAAATAAAGAATCAGTCTTGCCGTTCAATTTGAGATTGCGCAAGCAAGTTGCTAAACATGACGGAACGTCTACCCCGGTCTTAAGACTATATTGGGCTTCTGTCAAAATGCCAATTGTTTATTATACAAATTCTTTTGAAAACTGCCACTAGGGGAATTTGTGACCGGCGCCTAAACTTTGAGAGGTTGCAATTCGCTCTAAGAATTGTCTTTTGTTTTGGAAAATTTTTACACGTGTTAATACTATCCCTGATAATCCAGTGTGACGTCACAAACACCTAGTTATAACCTCTAACCGCCCTAACTCGAAAACAAACCATCGTAGCAAGTTGCAGTTTAAATATTTATTATTTATTCTAAAATTTTTTGATACAAAAACTTTCATTTCTGGGTCACACTCCCTTTAAGCATGGAACGTGTCAATTATCTCAAAAACGGCTTGCACGATTTTTATCAATTTTAGTTCATATACCTATCTTCAACTGTTTCGGAATTATTGACAGTTGAAAATAGACTTTTTCGTAACTTTGACAGACTGTAAAATCTAAACGGTTGATTTTACAGCAAAACCAATCATATAATAGACCTATCTATTTTATCAGACAAAGAGGTAATAATACGAAAACTTCATTAAATAAAAAAAGACACAGAACGCTCATTGCGCAAGACGAGGCAAAACGTACCAAATTATGTTAGACTTACGTATAGCAATCCGTCCTTCTTATTTGCACAGGATAAAAAGGAAAGGAGAAAAACCGCGTGTTGTGTAACGTATTTGTCAATGAAAATGTCAAAAAACTTTTGAATGACACTTGTCAAGTTGAATATCAACTTTAGATTTATTCTTGTCAGACTATGTGCAATGAACAAGGATAAAGAGATGCCCAGCGTGCAAAACGATTACCTCACACCTGTATTAGCTGGCCAATAAAAATACATTGCCTCGTATTGCGCGCGCATACCAGGTAAAAATAGATAGGTCTATTCTTATCTTAATTTTTCATAAACTATCATTTTACACCAACTTTGAGTTTTATCCATGATTAAAAAGCCCGGTTAAATTGATTCTCCAGGTAAATTCATAGTTGGTGTCAAATGATATAGTCACCAGTACATTGACCTTAAAATTTTGTAACTCATGTATGTACAACATACGGGTCTGTTCCCTATAATTCGTGCGGCTTCTACAGCGTAAACCAAAAATCATTTTAAAAAAAAGTTAAATACAAAAGTTGTAGGGCTTTATCTCTATTATCTTTTGCAAATGTCAAAACGGGCAAATGACAGGTACCAACTGTCATAATGAAATACACTTGCATTTTTTTCAATGGAACACCCTATATATTTTTGACCAGAATGATAGATTTTTTCTTCTGATTCCAAATATACCATATATGTTGATATCAGTATATTTGGAATCAGAAGAAAAAAATCTATCATTCTAGCTAAAAATATACAGCGTGTTCCATTTAAAAAAATGAAAGTGTTTGTCATTTTGACAGTTGGCACCTGTCATTTGCCCATTTTGACATTTGCAAAAAATAAAAGGGATAAAACCCTACAACTTTTGTCTTCAACTTTTTTTCAAATTATTTTTTGTTTAAGCTGTAGAAGCCGCACTAATTATAAGGAAAGGACCCTGTACAGGGTGGCTCATTCTCGATGCTTTAATAGGCTATATCGAAAACTAGCAGAGATGTCAAAAATCTGGGAGCACATTCTCGAGCTCTTTTTTTGAGAAAATAACAATGGCGAAGACAAATAACGGCTAATTTGATGCTTTTAGGAAATACAGGACACTTTTCAGATTTTGTCCAATTTTAAAAGACTCTCTAATTTCCTTATTATTCAAGAATCAAGATATTCAAAAACGAAAAATACTTTCTATAGGCAGTTTTTTAAAGAGAATCCAGTGGTACAGACAATTTTTTACATAAGCTTGAGCCTAACAAATCTGACCAGGTGCTGTGAATATTTGCCTTGCAAAGACGAGCCATAAGAATAATACCAGGATTGAAATGCATTGATACAGATGATTGTGAACAAGCTTTTGTTAACCTCAAAGTTTTCACTCTCCCAGGTGAATACTTCTTGCAGAACTTGATGTATGTCAGGCATAGTGTCTGGGACAATCATGACAGATTTATCCGACAATTAGGCTCTCCAAACCACGTGATTTTTCAATGCTTATGGCGTTTCCGATTGGTAGATCTAGTGCGAAACTAGTGCAATTTTTTCTATTTCTGTTTTTTTCTTCTACAGGTCGCTTAAAAAGATGCAAATACACTCAGTGCGCACTGAATCTACCAATCGGAAACGCCATTAGATTCTTACGAATATTTCGAAAATGGCTTTATTTCAGATGCAGGAACAGTGGTAGTGAAAAATTTTCACGTTTTAATTGGAAAATTTTAAAACAAAGGGTAATGAAAAAAGCCTGACATCATCCTTGTTAACTTGTTGAAACTACTTCCACAATCAACTTCAAGACCCGTTTGTGGCATTTTTAATTGGAAGAAACACTAATAAAGTCAATTAAATAAAAAATAGTGATGTTCATAATTATGACACAAGAAATAAAAATAACCTACAACCTATTTACCATCGTTTAGATAGATGTCAAAATAGCTCTGGATATCGTTCTATAAATTTCTTCAATAAAATTCCAGAAACCCTGAAAAATATTAGCAGAATCCAATTTAAGAGGAAATTTAAAGACATTCAATCAAGAATTCAGCAACTCCACACTTGTTTGGGTAGGAAATAAATTGCTATTACTGTGATAAATCAAATGATGTGCTCCAAAATTTTTAATGCTGTTGTAACCTAATATTGTATTATTTTTGATGTACCTATTCAAATGTATATTTTAATGTGTTTGAATTCTGTTCAATGTCTTTTGATTGTGTAAATGATATAATATTTAAGAAAATATAAATTGTAAAGTGTATACATTTTAAGCTATTTTGTGATTTTTTTTCAACTGATTGTACTACTATTTTGATATGTGTAATAGCATTAAATAAATTATTTAATTTGATTTGAGGTAGCAAATTTTTACATCCAGTCAGCTAACCAAATCTACTGTAATGCGTGCCATAAAAAAAAAAACACGACTCACCTATCATATCATGTCCAAACGATTTTTTGAACATATCTCGCTGGTTCCTTAAAGTCGTCATCATTTTAGCCTGCTGCTCTCGTTCTTGCAACAGCTCCATCTGCGACTCCTGCAATTCCTTCAGCTTCTGCTGCAACTTGGCTACGGCCGCCGGATCGTATGACTCCACTTCCTCCTGACGTTCCGTCAACTCTCGCACCAGCGCCAGTAACTTCTGATTGGTCGCCTGAAAAGATTTTAAATGTTCTATAATTGTGATATATGATAGTATGAGAATCATTCACATTTTATACAATAATTACTCTGACACAATTTTATATTTCGTATTTCCATGTTCATTATACATACATGGTTTCTGTCCTACTAAATAGATCAAGAACAGGACCGGCCCCAACACCAAACACTGCGGCACCCCAAAGCAAATTGTTTCACGCCCCTTTTCCAGTGAAATATTTATGATTGGGAATAAAGTTTACTTGTATTTTTCATTTATCTTGTGAGCCCATCTGAAAATTTTACCCAGAATCAAAAATTCTTGTTTTGTATCACCAAAGAACACTATTTAATCTACACCAATTAGGATAATAAATACTAATTCAAAGCCTCCTGAACTATCAACTAAATCCCTGTATCTTGTTCAATCATAAGTAGCGAGCCAGTGTCACACCTTGCCAATTATGAAGCATTATTACTTCGATGATTTGCCTCCCCCATTTTTAATTCTTAGTTGAAACTGTTAAATTTTTTGACTCACCTGTAGTTCAGCAATGTCATTAAATGTGACCAAACGCTTGGAAATAATATCGGCAGAACAAACACTGTCGCTCATGTCGTTGTCAGATGACACTGAGGAGGAGCCGATTCTTGAGTGTTCAACTTCCTGCAACAAATGAACAACTTGCCGCGACAAATCGGCAACTTCCTTTTTCATTCGCTGATTTTCACGAGCAACTTTACTCTCCATGCGGTGGTTTTCCGCTCGCTCTTCGCGCAATTGCTCCAGTTCGGACGTTAGAGCCTCGTTTTCGGTTTTCAAAGCCTCCTGCATGTCCAAACATTCACTGTACTCGCTGCGCAACTGTTTGATGAGAGGACCTTTCTCTTCCACCTCCTGAACGATGCAAGCGATGTAGTTGTTGAGACGCGCGCACTCTTCGTCTTTGGTCGCTAATTGTTCTTTGGCCTGGACATATTGAGAATAAAGGGTGGTATAGGACATGGTACGACCTGATGAATCATTTGTTAGTCCTCGAGATATGTTAGCTGCCATGTTGGAAATACCTAAAAGATGAAAAGTGGTTATTAAGGGTTTTTATGATCTACTTTTGAAATTAATCAGTGGTTATGAAGGTTTTAAGTGCCACAATAAGAAAGTATATGATTCTAATAATGTTATAGCAGATATTGTTTTTTGTCAGGATTGCATTGACTTCAAAACACTGAAATAACTGAATAATCTTGAGCAGAGTAACCATGATATTACAGTCAGTAAAAAGGATCGGGACATACCTCAGACCTGCATGGATCATTTATTCGTTAGGAATAATCTACCACGAAAATCAAGTCATATTATAATATATTTTCCAAAAAAAACAAGATGCGGCTTTTGTTCATAAATCAACACTTACCTTCAATGTTTCTAGAAAGCGACTCGTTTTTGCATTCTTCAATAACTTCGTTAGCAGTTTCCAGTTCCTTGGTCAACATTGCAATGTAGTCGTTTTTCTTGGCCACTATTTCTTCACAGGATAGTTCACTCTCTTTCAATTTTGTTTCCAGTTCACCGTATTTTTCTGTGTTAAGGTTTAGTAGTTCTTGAACCTAGATAAATAATTTAAAAAAAAAACAATAATTATTATAATTTTTTTTTTAGATTGATTGCTGGATTACCTCTGTCAACGCCTTCTGTAACTCCTCGGCATGTTTTTGACTCTGCTCACTCATAGCCCGATACACATTTGCCATCTTGGTCTTCGCCTCAATCTCACACACGTAAGATTCATTCGTTTTGGAATGTGTCTCGTTCAGATCTAACAATTTCTGAGCCAACTCTTCGTTACGCGTAGTCAATGCCTGGTTCAGTTCCAGCAGTGAGTTGCACTGATCCACAGCAACTGCCAACTCTTGAGTTTTGTCAGACAACTTCGTTTCCAATTGGACGCAACGGGAGTTGCTATCTCGGCGCATGTTCAAGATTTCTTCAGTCCGTTCTCTCACATCATCTGGAATAAAATTATCAGGATTTGCTTTTTGAAAGAAAAATATTTTTAAAATAGGGAAAAGTCAACCAAAATCTACATGACAAAGCAGCATTAGATGTGTTCCAATTTGAAAAGGATGAATGGGAAAAATGGTTGAAACACTATGAAAGGTAGTGTGCAGTAATTAAACTTGAAAATTACTCTGGAAGTACCCAAATCGACAATGTTATGTGAATCATTCTGAAAAATCTTTGGAATATCTGAAGAATAATTTTAGTTGTTGAAATATCAAAAAAAAAAACAGAATAGGTAGGTACTTATTTAAACTAAAAAATCAAACACTTACTTTCCAGACTATCCATTTTAGTTTGCATGAGCTCTCGATCTTGTTCCAGTCGTTTCTCGCGATACTCCAACGAAACCTTCATTGACTTTACCTCTTCGGCCTCAGCTAAGGCCTCGCACTTGGTCCTAGTGGCATCCTCCAGCTGTTTCGTCAATGTGTCGAGGTCCATTTGCATGCGTTCCAGTTCCGATTTTCTGCGTTCCATCATTTTGAAGCACTCGTCCCTCTCATCCACTGCCAAATTGCGCTGGTGTCGGAAATCGGCCGTATCGGCCTCCAGTTTGTTGGAGTAGGTGTGCAGACGGGTGAGTTCCGCGGACATGGTGGTTATTTGGGATTCGAGTTCGTTGATGGATACGGAAGCAGCAGCGAGGCGTGCTTTGAGATTTTCATTTTCGCCTTTTACGGTTTCGACTTGGGCTTTTACTTCGGTTAAAAGTTGTTCTATTGGGACAAGAAACAGAAATAAATTAATTGGAAACAGCAAATTGTTGGTGAACTGGAATATTACAACATTTATATGCCCTATTGTGGCATATGCTATTACATATCATTGAAAAACGCCTGTACGTACATTGTCAATTGTATTTTTTTTAGAATGTATGCAATTACGGTATATTATAAAAATTTGTAGCAGGGTTTAGATGGTATCCAAAAAAAGTCAACAATAATATCATAACCATAAATTTCGTGTGCTTTCTTGAAATCTCGATTTTGCAAGACACTAGTAACTGAAAGGGTGTGTTGTGCTTTGTGCTCTAGCTTCCGCATTAATCAAGTCGAAGTCGAAATATGCCTTATTGTTATAAACAACGCTTACCTATACTTAACAGCAACAATATCCAATAATTTGAAAAAATATAAAAAACATTGAATATGAAATATAGAAGAAATGTAAGTAGATGTTAAATGTTGAAATTTGTGCTAACTGTATATGTGAGATATAAGATAATACTCCATTGATCGGAATGGAACCAAAGGTAAATTTAAATACTATGCAATAAAAACATTCAGCAATTACCTGTGCATTGAATGCACCAAAGCTGGCTAGATAAAGACTTTCGATAACACTAATGGAAAATGATGATTATTTCATTCATGACATAATAGACGAATCACACAACATCATTTTTTGAATACATTTTTTTTAAATAAGTGATTATTGCACAAGACCTTTTTATTCGCGATTAAATTTTTGTTTACCTTTTTTGACAGAATTTTGATAGAAATATTCTGACATTTTATCATAAATAGAACTCTTTGTTGCTGGCTTTAAACCCAATTATTCAGAAAATAATCTAGCCGTATATCACTTGACCTTATAAATTTAAATGGATTAAACTATCCAAATATTTTTTGCAATATTTTGCTTTTTGGCAAATAGTTTCATGCACAATAACTTTAAAATAAAATTTGTTAAGTTATTGTGCATTCAACTATTTTCCAAGCAGAATCATGCTCAAAATATGTTGGATAGTTTAATCGAGTAAATTTAAAGCTCTTGTGTTGCTTCTCTGCCCAACTCTGTCAGCAGGATGATTGCAGTATCATTTGCATCAGACATATTATGTGAGTCCGCGTCTAACTCCAATCCAATAGATCGTTCAGGTAAATTATAAAGAAAAATGGATCATAAAATGGTGCCTTGAGGTACATTAATCTTCACAGTAATTTTGTGCTGTAGCTGTAGGTGTTGTTAACTTTTAAATAACCCTGGAGCAAAACAAAAGCAGGACTCATGACTCCTTATTTCAACTCCCTATATTTAACTTTTCTAATAAAAATAAAATATGATCTCGAGAATGATCAACTGTATCATAAGCTTTGGCCAAATCCAGAAGAAAAGCCATGTTCAGTAGACTCTTATCTAAATTATCAGGCATCGCAAAAACATTGTTTTGTTTGTTGACAACTTTTTCCTAAATCCAAATTGATTTTCAATTAATTTATTGCATTTTTCAACAAATGTGCACAACCTAAAATAAATGATCTCCTCAAACATTTTACAAATATTAGAAATTAAAGAAATGGAATTATAGTTTGAAACTATGTGATAGCTCATCTTGTGATTTACAAATAGGTGTAATTTCTGCATTTTAAAAATGATACCTGCATTTTTTTATGCTAATAATATTATCAACGTCTACACCACCAGCTTTTCCTTTCTTTAAATTTTTCATGGCTTTCCCCACCTCAGACTCATTTATTTATCGCCGGGTCCATGGCCATTTACATAACAGAAAAAGAGCAATAACAAGTTCTTAAACTATAAAATTCTGAAAGCAATAAAACAAAACAATGGAACAGAAAGAAATCAAAGATTCATTAATTGAATTGACTTAAAGCTTTATGTTTTTTTTGTATATTAGAATTAATTATGTCTGTCAACCTAGCATGACGACCCCAGCAGAATTCGAAAAAATTTGGTGGAGAATTTGTTGCTATTTTGTTGCTAATTATTTGCCATATTTTTGATTTTTTTTATCTTGCCGATTTTGAAAAAATGCGACTCTCCTAACTTGATATCAAGCTAGCAGAAAAAAAAAAAATTTCCCAGCAGAATAAAAAAAAAACTAGTGGGGAATTTGTTGCTATTTAGTTGCTAATTATTTACCATATTTTTGATTTTTTTTCTCTTGCCGATTTCGAAAAAATGGGATTCTGCCAGCTTGATATCAAGCTAGCAGAAAAAAAATCAATTTCTCAGCAGAATAAAAAAAGAATAGTGGGGAATTTGTTGCTATTTTGTTGCTAATTATTTACCATATTTTTAATTTTTTCAATCTTGCCTGTTTCGGAAAAAAGCGATTATACCGAGCTACCAGAAAAATGTTATGTATTATTTCTATTTTTAATCAAGTTTATAATACATGAAAATCTATGACTATACTTATTTTCAGATAATAATTAGAGGAATCAACTTTCGAAAAATCAATATTTTGATCTATTTAAGTATTGTTCATCAAACAGAGCAATGCACGAACAAAAAACGATAATTACAATATACAAAAATTGTGAGCTGATGATTATATTTTTAACTGTTTAAGGACGGTTCATTCATCCTTTTGGTTGCGGTTGCCGATTTTAGTGCCCTTTAATCAACCTGAATTTATTTATTTTTCTTAAAAAAATACTGATGCCAATAATAATTAATCCAATTGAAAATTACAGAGGATTTTCAATATACCGCCCGTCGATGCAATAACCTATAATAATATATTGATCCATATTGCTCTGAATAGCTGTACAATACAAAACAAAATGATTCTGCTGACGGTAAACAAATATTTACCACTCAAAAAGACTCTAAATTTATCTTTGCAGTCTGAGTTGTAGTAAATAACTATAAAATAATATTCTGCTGGCGGTAAATAAATATTTACCAGGCAAGAAGTGTCCATAATGGTCTAAATCGATCTATATTTTGATTTAGACTCATTCTGCTGGCGGTAAATAAATATTTACCAGTCAAGAAGTCTCCATAATGGTGTAAATCGGTCTATATTTTGATCTAAATTCATTCTGCTGGCGGTAAATAAATATTTACCAGGCAAGAAGTGTCCATAATGGTCTAAATCGATCTATATTTTAATTTAGACTCATTCTGCTGGCGGTAAATAAATATTTACCAGTCAAGAAGTTTCCATAATGGTCTAAATTGGTCTATATTATGATATAGACTCATTCTGCTAGCGGTAAATAAATATTTACCAGTCAAGAAGTCTCCATAATGGTCTAAATCTCTCTATATTTTGATCTAAATTCATTCTGCTGGCGGTAAATAAATATTTACCAGGCAAGAAGTGTCCATAATGGTCTAAATCGATCTATATTTTGATTTAGACTCATTCTGCTGGCGGTAAATAAATATTTACCAGTCAAGAAGTCTCCATAATGGTGTAAATCGGTCTATATTTTGATCTAAATTCATTCTGCTGGCGGTAAATAAATATTTACCAGGCAAGAAGTCTCCATAATGGTGTAAATCGGTCTATATTTTGATCTAGATTCATTCTGCTGGCGGTAAATAAATATTTTGTAACATTTTAATTTTGCTCTTCCCATTAAATGAGTAATTCAGCGTTTTAACTGGTAACACACAAATATTATTTTAGAGCTGACTTAATTGATTGGATATTAATTACCTTACTCTGCATCTTTTTAGATAATTTCAGGCACAGCCAGACAAGATTTTGCTCCTTATCATTTGTCTAATGATTTAGTTGACCATTGCAGATGAATATTTATTGAACAATGCCTGGTTATCTTATTTTTGTTGTCCTTAAAAGGAATATACATAAATTATCAATTTCATTAGTCGATAGCCAACATTGTTTTGATTTTCAAATAAAAAGGGGTTATGTCCAGTTAATTGTCATTCAATTTTATTTTCGCGCCAGCTCATTTCGAAGGATTAATTCCTTTAGTTTTCACTCCCTCTCTGTCTCTCTCTTACTGGAGGATTTCATTTCTTTTATTTACCTGTTATCGAGTACCTATATCGATCAATTTGCTGGTACTTTGGTTTTGATCGCGTAGGGTTGGGTTTTTCTATAAATGTCGATATAATTGGTATCGTGTTAGAGAAGGCATGGACATATTTAATAAGTGAAGTTATTTATAGATTTTAACGAGAATAGTGTTTTCCTGATTTGTGTGGATTGAGTCGGTTCCATTTGTTGAGTCCCTTTGGAGGTTTCGCTGACGACTATCGATATCTTTGTCGTTATCTTTCAATCCTTCCTAAAGTGTGGAAGGTGGAATTCGTTAGAAAAAAATGTAACATAAAAAAAAGTTAGTGCGTAGAAATTTCTGGTTTAGGGTCCCAAAAATCGTACAACGGTCTTTTCCATTTCGTCCAGCGACAAGAACACTTTGGCTTTGGCCTGAAGAATAGTTTTTTTATCCGGTTGACCATAAAGAAAATTAAGTGATTTTCTCTATTTAATTAGGATCCGGTCATCCAGATAATTTCAATTTTGGTTTTGCCAGTCTAGTTTTGGTTTTTGTTACCTTTTGGCAGCCAAATCACCTTTCTAAGGGATTTATCTATTTCTTCTAGTCGGTAAGTCCACCATTTTGTGAATTTGTTTTATTGTAAATTAATTAGTTCTATTCTCACAATAGAATATCACATCACGTCGCTTGGATTGAATTGTTTGAGCCTAGACTCTTAGAGCCTTGATTTTATTGTTGCTCGTTATTGTGAACTTCCAAATTGGATCAGCCAGCGTAGGTGAAATTAGAGTTCCATGACCTTCCGTTCACCTTCAACCTTTGAGCTGTGGCCCTCAAAAATCCACGAGGTAATTATAATTGCAATTTTCCATTTTAATGTTTTATTGGGGGACCATTCTATGCCACATTGATTGGTAGACTTATAGTTTTTTTATTTTAATATTTTTTTGGCAATGCAACTTAATTTAATGAATTGAACTCATTAT